AGCCTGTTGCTATGACATTACGACAGCTATGACATCACTAGGTGATAGGAATTTTTTAGCTCCATTATAATCTATGGGATCACCATCGTATATGAGGTCTGTCATTGACCAAAATGTTATGCGATGCAAGACTGCACTTGCATAGAGAGTTGTTTCTCTTATTATTTCTAGTAGTTTTAATTACAGATATTAATTAGAACTCTAACCTTAATTTCCAGCAAAAACTAGGAAGTACACCATTTTATCTTTTTTAAAAGCATATGCTTCCTTGCGCTGCCATTTCTAATGTGGCACAGGGCATGTTCACTAACAGACCCAAACGTCTTTAGTCTCTCCGTAATAAGAAGCTGTAGGGAGGCTAAATTTTATCTTTATCCTCCTAGGCTTTTCAGCTGGGCCAGAGAATTTAACCATTTGTACAGATTTCCTTTACCCTCAACTTTCCATCCTTCATGATAAAAATGTTAAAACTTTCTGGTATAGGGAGGACACCTTCCACATGGGAACTTTATATCCCGCCTTTAAGTAAAAAGAGGAAGGTCTGAGAGGGTTTTTTCCTTTTTTTTTTTTTTTTTTTTTTTTTTGCTTCTGCTGTTTTCCAAGTGCCTTTAATTCAGTATTGTCAGTATGATACCTGGTGGCAGTTCCAGGTTCTTGGTCTATCCATGAGAGAAAAATCTTTCACAGGACCAGTCAAAAGAGAGGAAGAGAGGGACAGAGAAATGGAACATAATTGGGCTTTATTATAAAGCAAAGCTACATGCCAGAGAAGTGCGCTGGCTTCTCTGCAAGGGAGAAATGCACGCCCCCCGGATTCTTAGAGGGAGGGTTTATATGTTGTCTGAGATGGGGATGTCTCTATGTCCTAGCTAAGGGGAGGACCATTTGGCAGTGGGGAAGGACCTAAGGTAATTAAGGCCTAGTAAGGTAGTATCAGCTTCCTGTCATGTGTCCTTGAGTTTCTGAAGTTTCCGGTCACTCTCTTAACTTAGGCTAAACCAGTCTGAATATTTATGAGCAGCCTCCCTGGGGCATGCCCCTATTTTGCCCTGCCTCCATTCTGTCTTTTGGAAGCCTCTTTATACCAATCCAAAAATGCATTCCGTTGTTGTTAGAGATCCAGGATCCCATTTTTTCAAGGGCACTGCTAAAAGGAGCTATTGTGTCTACGTTAAATGTTCCTCACAGTAGCCCCTCTATTGAGTGTCTACTCAATAAATGTCAATTTTCTCATCCCCTAAAGACCAAAAGCATTCAGAAATCTTCCTCTCTTTATTTTTTTTAGCCTATGTCCAATGATTTAGTTTTAAATTGCCATCCATTCTTGGAGATTCTTAATCAAATTTTTAAGAGCTCACACCAAAATTAGACTGCCTTAAAGAACAATGGAAGGCCTGTTGGTTAGTCTGTTCTTTAGGGCCTTTGAAAGGTTGTGCAGAAGGGGGTTGTGAGGGATGGGTGTCCCATTACTATAGTCAGGAACAAGACAAATGTACGGATGCCACTATTTATTTAAAATGCTGTGGAAGTTTCAACCAAAGCAATAAGTTGAAAAAAAAACAAAGAGGGATATGAAAAAGGGGATATAATCTTTAGCTGTTAGGTAATATGATTATCTAGAAGTCCCGAAGGAATTCATTTTTAAAAATTAGTGAGGTAGTCAGCCTAAAAATAGAAAATAATTTTCTCTCCCACGTGCAACAATTGGTTGGAAAATATATGAGGGAAAAATATCTCATTCATGGTTGCCTCAGAAAATATAAAGCTAGATAGAAACTTAATAAGAAATGTACAAGACCAGTAACTAAGAGAACTATAGTAAACTAAGTAGACATAACTTGTTCCCAGATATAAAAACTTGATATTGTAAATTATTAATTCTTCCTAAATTTATTTACAAATGTAATACAGTTCTACTCAAAATTGTGTTTTTATAAATAATTGACCAAGTGATCCTAAAGTTTATCTAGCAGCATGAATGGCTGGAATAGATAAGACATATTTGGAAATAAATAATGAAAAGGAGTTGCATAATTAAGATAACCAAAAGAATCTGCTCTGACCAGGTCAGGTAAATTACAGGGCCTTGAGAGATCTGGGATAAGTCAGTAATCACGTCCACCTGTCCTGGAAAATGTTATCATAAGATCATTTTTACTTAGAAGCAGACTTTATGGCACCAAAATGCTGTAAAATAACCAAGAATCCTTCTTGCTACCCTTACCCTGGATCACTGCATGTAGGAAGTAACCTAGTAACAATCCCCCAAATCTGTACATCATGCACAACTAATAGGAAACCTGGTGAAGTAGTTGAGGTGGGGCTGTCTTCTCTCTCTCCTTTGACCCTTCTCCCTTCTTGTGATGATGGAATGCTAAGCTCAGCTGGCCTCTACAGAGCACATTTCTTAGGGCGACCTGATTTATGTGTCTCCCAGGTTGCTATCGTCAATTGGCTCAGTAAGTCCTTGCCATATAAATCTGGCCTCAGTTTTTTTTTTTTTTAGGTCAACAATTAGATAATCTATATACACAATCTAATAAATCTGTAGTAATTAAAAGAGTGTTTCTAGCACAGAAATGAGATCGGTGGAATGAAATATTAAGTATACAATCCGAATCAGGAATATTAAAGAATGTATGAAAAGGGGATGTTTCAAGCCCAAGTGGAAAGGAGGGTTATTCACGATACAGTGTTTTTAAATTGGTCAACCATTTAGAGAGCAGTAAACTAGAAATGTACTTCATGCCATATATCAAAATAAATTAAAAATGGATTAGAGATTTACATGTATAAAACGGGACCGTAAAGATATTAAAGGACTTATAAACATTTATGTAATCTTGGGGCGTGGAGGTTCTTCCTAAATGGAATCCTAAGGAAAAATCAGTATGGGCTTTGGGGCAAAAGGACTCTGCAGAACCTGCATGCTTTCTTTCTTTGAGGGGGAAGGGGAGCTGGCCTGCTCAGGGACCCAAACCGCATGCTTTCTTGAGCTTTGAACTTTAGAGCTAAAATTTCATAGGCGGCTCTGAAGTCCAAACCAAAAGATTCTACGAGTTTATCATATTAATCATGTTGATTTTATAGAAATGCTACATGAATTACAGGCACTGTTCTCAAACTGAACAAAAGTTTAATGATTTTTTTAAAAAGTTTGACTTGTTTTTAAATCACTCTGGTAGAAAAGGAAAATAAATACAAATAATTAATGGTGAGCAGAGGCTGCTCTTCCTTTGCCTTATGGAGCGAGCAGCTTTGCTCCTCTCCTGCCCTAGGGATGAAGTGTAGAAGGACACGCTCTGTGACTACAAACCCATCACAGGCAGGACGGGTGTGTCTTCTCAGGGGCTGCAGCTTATGCCGTGAGGAATGAGAATGCTGAGACGATCATACGAATCAGTCGTTCTTCGCTTCCATTTTTCTCCTCAAAAGCCTAGAATGTGTCTCTGATCAGTGGGAAATGTACCTGGACAGACCCATGAAAATATATCAAGTTCCATTCAAGGGACCCTCCTTTTTCTTAATTTCGTCTGAAATGGCTTCTCACTGCCTTTCTTTCATTCTGGTTCCCACTAGTTTTACAGGTTTTTCAATTTTATAATGTGAACTCACATACACTCTCTCATTTGATCTTCAGGACAACCCCCAGTGGTATCATGATCCTTGTTTTGGAGATAAGTAAATGAGCTCAGAGTTAAGGACTTGTCCAAGTCCTACAGCTGGGAGGGGCTGGACTGGATCTTGCACTTCTGTTTCTGCTCTCACTCGCTTTGACCTTTGGGGTCTCAGTATTCTTGAAGTATTCTATTAAGCATTCTGTTAAAAAGCAAAAACAGTGCCTTGCCATTGGCCCCAATTATTAGTGCAGTTCTAAGACTTACCTTGAGAGCTTCCCATTGACTTATATATTCATGTCCTCACACATGTCCCTTCGTCCTAAAAAGGAGAAAGTCAGTAGGACTCCTTGCGAGGAATCAGTGCATGACGTAACTGTCCTTCATGGGACTCCTGCCTTGTGTATTTCTCCTTCCATGCTGAAGTCCATACTCTTGACAAAAGCAGGCACCAGTCTTAGGGCTCTTGGTCTAAAGATATCCAGTCTAATAAGAAATCCCATTCAACGATCCCTCCTGCTTGCCCCTTTGTGAAAGAGACGCTCTTAGGGCTTTGCTGTTGGCACACGACTGGCTAATTCAGCATTACTGGGAGCAGGAAAAAGAAAGTAACCCAAGTTAATGCTGTTTATAATTGTCATTATTACAATAGTTAATAATTATAATAGCTACATTTTTGAAAGTTCAATTTAAAAATCACTACATTTGAATCTAGTGATGAGAGAATTGGAAATACACAGAGACTAAAGATGTAGCCCAAACTTTTGTATTTACTTGTTAGAGGATTTTGGATAAATCACTACATTTCTTCAAGGTTCAATTTCCACATTAGCTATGATGAACAGCACATTGTTATGCGGTCTTGCAGAGGCACAGTTATTTGTAATAATAATACTCACTATTGTTATTATAAGTATTTTGTTTTTAAATAGGTACGATAATAATTTTGAAAGTCATATATAATCTGTAAAACAAAAAATGCAAAATGCCTTAAAAGACACAGTAACAATAGTTATTATTATAACATTATTATTATTATCCAGCCTGTTTTTTTTTTTCTTTTTTGTATTTCTTCCTTCAAATGCTTTCAGAAATCAATATCCCCATTCTTCACCACCATCGCATAACATTTCTGTTTCTTTTCCATCATGGATTATGCTGACTTTGAAAGCTTCAGATCTTTCCTTCCTCACTCCCCTCTCATAGCATTTCTGATATGCCTTTTGAAATACATGCTAAGGAACCTCTAAAACGTATAGGCTGCTCATCACGTGTGGCATCTTTGTTCAATGAATAAATCAACTGGTATGTTTCACAAAGGATGACCATGCTTAATTGTGCAATTGTTTTTTTTTTTCTTTTTCTATCACAGGGACAAGAGAAATGGCAACCTCAATAGATGAGACTGAGACTGTGGTTGAGGCATTTGTGACCACATCCTATGACTATGGATGGTCACAGCCGTGTGAAAAAGTCAATATCAAGAGGCTGGGGGCTCAGCTCCTGCCTCCACTGTATTTCCTGGTGTTCATCGTTGGCCTCTTGGGCAACGTGGTAGTGGTGGTGATCCTCACAAAATACAGGAGGCTCAGGATTATGACCAACATCTACCTGCTCAACTTGGCAATCTCTGACTTGCTTTTTCTCTTCACGCTTCCATTCTGGGTTTACTATGTGAAGTGGGATACGTGGGTTTTTGGCAATTTCATGTGTAAGCTCTTCTCGGGGCTTTATCACATAGGCTTGTACAGTGAGATCTTCTTCATCATCCTGCTGACAGTTGACAGGTACCTGGCCATCGTCCATGCTGTGTTTGCCCTTCGAGCCCGGACTGTCACTTTAGGCATCATAACCAGCACCGTCACCTGGGGCCTGGCAGGGCTAGCAGCACTCCCAGAATTCATCTTCTATGAGTCCCAAGGGTGGTATGGAGAGTTTTCCTGCAGTCCTGGGTACCCAGAGGATGAAGAATATAGCTGGAAGAGTTTTTATGTTCTGAGGATGAATATCTTTGGTCTTGCTCTCCCTCTGCTCGTGATGGTTATCTGCTACTCAGGAATCATTAAAATGCTGCTGAGATGCCCCAATAAGAAAAAGTACAAGGCCATTCGGCTCATTTTCGTCATCATGGTGGTCTTTTTCATTTTCTGGACACCCTACAACCTGGCTCTACTTCTCTCTGTTTTTCAAACGGCTTTCTTTGAGAACAGCTGCGAGCGGAGCAAACACCTGGACCTGGCCGTTCAAGTGACGGAGGTGATCGCCTTCACACACTGTTGTGTCAACCCAGTGATCTACGCCTTTGTTGGCGAGAGATTCCAGAAATACCTGCACCACTTTTTCCACAGGCATGTGGTCGTACACCTGGGCAAATACATCCCGTTCCTTCCTAGTGAGAAACTGGACAGAGCCAGCTCTGTTTCCCCATCAACAGGGGAGCCAGAACTCTCTGTTATATTTTAGGTCAGAAGCAGAAAATTGCCCAAAGAGGATGGTCTGGGTGTTGTTGACCAAATTGACATCCAAACCAGTCCCGTGTAACACTGAAGCTCTTGAAGACATTAGAATATATACACAATGCTGGCAGCATGTGCATGCACCCCAAGGTCATTACCAGAGGCCAAGGGCTGGGCAGTTTACTCATGGTCAACCTTGAAAAGCAGAGCTTCGCTTCATTCTCTCAAGAGCTACATAAATTTTAATGTATCTGAATGTTAGATAGTTACTATTTGCAGCTCGCAAGCAGTTAAAACTTAATATTTTAAACCTTAACTTCAGCCAGCTATTGGAATAAATGAAACATTTCACAAAATACAATAATTTCAATTACTTTATTTCCTAACGTACCCAGCTCTTTCCTTGCTTAATGAAAACCTTTTTTCTTTTTCTTTTTTTGTTTTTAGTATATGGATACTCTCAAGCAACATAATTGCATGCCTACCTGTTTTAAACATTCCTAATAGTCAATTCATTTTCTGTTCACACCACATTTCCCATGAGTGACTCACAGAGCTCTGACTTGTGCACACTGTGCACTTAAATGCCAATCTCACATTACAGAGTAGGTCAGGGGCCACCTGAACATAAGAAGTAGCCAGGTGTGGAGAGGGGGTGTTGGGCTCGCGGGACTCTCTGCAGCTGTAGCTCAGTGTCTCTCAAACTTGTCATCAGAAGTACCTGGAGGGTGTGTTAAAGCATGGACGGCCAGGTCCCACCCCCAAGTTTCTGATTCAGTGGTCTGTAGCGAGACCTGAGAATTTGCATCACTAGCTAGCTTCCAGGTGATGCTGATGCCACTTGTCCTAGATCACACTTTCAGAACAACTTCTCTGGCTAAAATGCTCCTAGAGACACTCCATAGTTATCCTTGAAACTAAGGATTTCACAGTTCTCATACGGAAATGCAAAAGGTCCTTTTGATCTAGGCTCCGCTAAGAACAATCTCCATCCTAGACAGCCTAGGAACGATGTCAGTCCATCCTAAACCAATTGGTTTAGTGGGAATTTCCAGTCCACCATCTTGTTGAATTGATCTTTTCGTGAGTGCCTGTATCTCACACCCTGCACTAGAAGCTGTGGGAGATGCAAAGACTGGTGAGACTTTGTGTGAGCTACAACCTAAGGAGAAAAAAATGCAACTGATGATGTAAAACTTTCCCCAAAATTAGGAATGTACTGGGTTCTCCTTCCCTTTCCTTCCCCCTATTTATTGCTTCTTGGGGAGGAAAGTTCTAAGCTTCCACTTAACTTGTGCCTCTCACTAGAGACAATGTGTGATAGTGTAATGTGAGCCCTGCCAGCTGTTCATCCAACAAATATCTGTTAGGTGATATGGATGGAATGCACACACATTGCTTTAATTTAAGTGAAGGGTGCAAAAATATATAAGACAAACCCAACCCTTGCTCCCATGAAACCTTCAGTCTAGTAGAGTGTATAAGATAGAAATCACTCCAGTGCAAAGAGGACAGACATTTAAGGCTATGCCTGGGTCAGGAAAGGAAAAACCATTTCTACCTGGAACCCAAAGGAAGGAAGACTTCATGGAGGAAGTGGATTTTGAGCAGGTCTCTGAAAGAAAGGCAGGATTTGGAAAGGGAGAGGATTTGGGGGAAGGCACTTTAAGCTATGGGAATGCCAAGTCCAAAGCTGAGGGAGGAAGGCATGTATATGTGGACAGTAGGGCAGGGTGGACAGGTTGGGATGGGCTGTGGATTTCAGGCAAAGGATCGGGGGCTTTTTAAGGAAGGCCAAGAGGAGCTATTGAAGGGTTTAAAGCAGTGGAGTAAAGCAATCAACGTTGTGCATTAGGAAGATGACTCTGGTAACTCATAGAGCATGGAGTGGAGGCCCCAGAACCATGCAGGGAGGTAAGTCAGAAGGTGAATGCAAGTATGAAGGCAGTATCCGTGGCTGATAAGAGAGATGCCAGGAGCACCCAGAGAGGAATCTGATCATAGATAGCACAAAAAGTCAAAGGGAAAAACAGACTGTCTCATGTTAAAAAAAGAGAGAGAGAGACACATACATACATATTTTCTTTGTACTTAGATGCACAGACCACTTCCTAAAGGATACAAAAGAAAACAGTACCAATGGTTGTCTTTAGGGAGGGATATGGGTGGACAGAGAGCAGGATGAAGCTGACTTTTTGTGCCTTTTGGATTTTGAACCATGGGAACATGTTACCTATTCAAAAAATAAATAAAACTTTAGAATTATATATATGTATAAAATAAAAGGCTAGGCTACTATCCAGATGTTCAGATGTTGGTATCCATCCTACCGGAAATAAAGATATGGGAAGATTCAGTTCTCGCTAAAATATTAGGAGTTGGAGGCTCACCGTCTACAAAATAGATTGTAAAAAGAAAGGGGGAGAGGAGTGGTGGACAGTTCCACAGCACTACCTTCCGTCGGCTGTGAGACCAGGTACATTTCCCACCGAGCACCTACCGTGTTCTCAGCTAGTTCCCGAGAAAACAAAATTGGGCACACCGTGGACCCTGCCTTCAGGGAGCTCACCGTCAGATTGAGTTCGACACTGTTCTTGTCTTTCACTGCCAGAATTCAAAACCATATCTTGTAAAGGAATTGCCGATGTCAAAATGTAACCCAAATGAGGGCAACTTCCATGGTCTTCCAGAAAATATCATTCACTTCCCAATCAAATGCTTGGAGAAGGGGTGTGCAAGCTCTCGGCCCTCCATTCCATCTGTCTTCAACCTCTGGTGAGAAGCCTTGACGTTTCTTACCATCCTGCCTATCTTCAAGCCCCACATGGGCAACACAGGATGTGAACTTTGGAACACTCTAGACCACACAACACGATCTCAATTTGGCTAGGAAACTTTGAAGTACTTTTTCTCTTTTTTGTGGTTCAGTCAAAATGTAAATAAAACAATCATTTTAAAACTTAACTCTACATCACTGGTTCTCTCTTGCATTGTGAAAGCATCTGCCCTTAGGTAACCACAAGTGCAGGGTACTAGTGTTTGTCCATACTCCCCCTATCCCTGAAAGCTTTGAAGAGCTTTGTGACTCTCACAAAACTGCACGTGATCAATTCATGAATCAGTGTGCTCTGTTTCGCTCCCTAGCCCAGCTCTGTCCAATAGAACTGTCTGTGATGATAGAAATGTCCTCTGTCTCACTGTCCAATGTGGTCACCACCAGCCACTGGCAGCTATTAAGCACTTAAAATGTGACTTGTGCTACTGACGAACTGTATTTCTAAATTTGATTCAACTTGAATTACTTTGGATTAAATGTAAACAGCCACATGTGGCTGGTGGCTACTCCAGGTGGTTAGTGGCATGGCACTTGCCTCTTACCCGTCCTCTACCTACACATCAAGCTTCCTGTAGACATCAACTTCCAGCAAACACCTGACTTGAACTCTGTGTGACAGTAGGGAAAATTCTGGTGGTGCAAAGATGAATAGGACCCATTTCTAGAAAACTTACTCACCGTTCAGTGGAAGAGACCCATCTGACTCATATGACTGTAATGAAATGTGATGGGGACCTAAAGCACCCTACTGCAGAAAGTAGGATGGAGACACTGAAGAAAGCTACAAAGAAAAGGTCACATTCTGCTTAGGTGGGGTTTCCCCAGGTGCAGACCGTGAGCAAGGATTTGAGAACAAAGAGTTTATTTGGAAAGTGCAGGAAACTCTAGTAGGGAAGTGGGGAAGTAAAACAGGGAGGGGAAGGTGCCAATAAAGGGTACATTATGAAGCCACCTTCCACAGGGCGTGACTGGAGTTTAAGCCACTAAAAGACTCTGGAAAACAGTGTAGCACACACTTCTCAGCTATCCCATTCGAGGGGGAAGAGTGTTGGGTATTTATATTCTGCTCCCGAAGGCTAAAGGCTGAAGTCACTGGCTGAAGGCTGCTCCTGGAGGTTTTAATTCCCCAGCGCTTCCAGCCTGCCTTGCTCAGGAGGAGAGGCCTCCCCAGCTTTGGGGAAAGCTACTTGGGAAACCAGATGCAGATACTGGAGGTAAAAAGCCAGCTGGGCATGCATGGTGAAGGTGTTAAAGAGGCACCCTGTATCAGGATCAGACTCACACTCAGGAAATATGGAGACAAGGGACAGGCAGCTGCATTGGGGAAGAGTGGAGAAGAATTGCCACTACTTTGGGATGGGTCTATATGTCCAGTGTTGATTTTGGCTAGAATGTGGAATTCTTTTCTATGGGCCATATGAGAGAGACCTGACTGCCCAAGAAGACTGTCCGGAGGGACCTCAGCAGCACATATCTGCAGTGGATTGCCAGCACAAAGGATGGCGGGAAGTTGACAGCTAGGGAAAATGCATATTTTCAAGTCACAGGAATTATGTTGAAAATTCCCAGGGATGTCTCCAGTGACTCTACAAAAGCAGTCTGTGAGAGAAAGGATCAACTTTTAAATATCTGCCAGCCCCAGAAGGGGTGACATCATCTTATGATGGGCCAGTCAAACAGGCTTCCTAACCCTAACTTTCCTTCCTTCCTGGCTGCCACCTAGTGGGAGGGTTAGAATCCATGCTCTGCAAGCTGGGGAAGGAGTAAAGTGCCAGGTAGGAAGAGCAGGAGGTAGGATCAGGTCCTGCTCTTCTCTCCTGCAAGTAGTCATCCCTCAGCCCACTGGGGGTGAGTGGGGAGATTTAAATGTCAAATCAAGTTGAGTTTTGATTATCATGTGCAGATCAACTTGTCAATTTTTGAATTGAAACTCTGTCCTTCTGTGACCTCAAATGAGCATGGGGATTTTTTTGTACCTAAGCGTGATGATGAATGTCTTGGACTGCCTGAATTTTCATTTGGGCTAGAAGAACTTCAGCCTCTAATTCAACTGAAAGGGACCGTGAAGCACAAAAGTTAACACCCCATGAGTTCTGTTGGTTTAATATACTGGTGGCACATCAAAGCCCCCAAATTTCAGCTCCCTCTATGTAGAGCTTACAAGAATTTGC